TCAATAGATTTACGTCATAGTTTTTGTCATTCAAAAAGAGTTTTAGTTCGTTATAGTCTTGTTGTCGTCGGTGAAAAAAATTTTGTTGACAAAAATTATGACAAAGATTATTCGTCAACGAAATTAACACTGCTCCTATAGTAGAGAATGAGTGGAAGTGTTCCTCAGGGGATCTATAGTGCACTGTCTGATGCGATACTGTAGCTGACGGCTGCATGGTTACAATTTTACATTTTACAATTTTATCTCTAATAGTATCAATCTTGGAATTAAAGTAGTTCATACTAATTCCATGTTTTTGGGACATTGACCATGATACAAAATGGCACGTGTTTTTTTTTTTTTTTGGATCTTGGTAATACCTTGTTTTTGGGACGTGGACCATGATAAAAAAAAAAATATTTTTTATTTTGCATGTTTATCATACTAATTCCACGTTTACAAAATGCCATGTTTTTTTGGATGTGTACCATGGCAATACCTTGTTTTTGGGCATGTATCGTGATAAAACCATGTTTTAGGCATATGTACCATTTTAATAACATGTTTTTAGGATGATACAATTCAGTTAATTTTGATAGATTTATCAGAAAACAAGACCTAATATCTTTATTATTTTGCTTTTCAATAAATGTATCCTGATTTAAGAATGTTTGGATATTTGTACTGGACAATAAGACAAATACTAAGTAAGAAATTGTTTTTGAAGTGTAATACCATGTCTTTTTGGATTTGTGCTATGGTAATACCATGGTATTCTTTGAACTATTATTTAAAGTATGTTCTACCTTGTAAATGTCATGCTATTTAAAATCAAAGAATCATTCAGTACCATGGTAAGCTACCGTATATATCAAAATACCATGGCATTGGTGTCTGATAGCATCACTGTACCATGGTGCCACCATAGAATCATAGGCAGGATAGTTATACTAAATTCTAAGACCGCTTATTTTGATCAACATCTAAAGCAGCTAGAAAAGTCAATCTCAGCATGCATTGTTTTATTGCTAAGTACTGAATCTGAGTAAACAATAGGGCTTTTGGAAGCAATGTAGAATGTCAATGTGATTATAATTAATACTGACAAATAGTTACATATTATTAAATATCAACATGTATATGAGTACTGTGTTGTTAGCTTAGCAACATGCTAACATCAGACTGCTGAAATCAGTTGTGTCTAGTCTCTTGAGTAGTGCTATTTGTATGCCGCATGGAGTTGCAGCCTATCTAGGGTGCTGTAGTCACTTATAAGGCTCTGTTTCATTGCATGCTGCCTATTTATGCAACTAGACGGCTTAGGATTTGGAAGAGAACCAATGTTTGTGCATATGTAACCTATTTCATGAGTAACATTTAGTCTAATTTTGATTACCGCAAGATCAACACTCTACTATTAATCAAAGATAACTCACCATTTAAATACATTTTAAGTAAACTTGATGTGTATGAGTCTGGATATTGCAGTTTTAGTTTTGAAATGTCTGCTCTTAAAGTTACATAATGTTTGTGTTAAGAGTCATTAAAACAGCATTAAACATCCACTATAAAATTCAAGGTCAGTTTGTTGTACTTCCCTTTCTTTCTGCCTCGTAATAAATATTTTAACTGGAGTTTTATTGTTTAGTCTGGCACTGTTATGTCAAGGCACATCAACTCCAGGAAGTTCTCGTCTTTTCACTTCTTTTGCAATCACACTTGCATTGTTTTAGATATTTCTTCAAACATTGGTTTCTTCAAAGGGAAATCTGACAAGATAAATAGTCCGCCCGAATTCTCCAAAAGACTTGTATCAGTTTTCCAAAATTTCCCCTTTTAGATCTAAAAGCTCCTCTCACAGACTAAACTCGACCAAAAATGGATACACTATACTGCGCTCACTAATGTAATGACTGTAGGTCACATGTCACATGTATGACGCTTGTGCTATTTTCAGTTTTGTTATATTATTAGCAAGACTATAGACTGAGTGACTTTGTTGTTGCTCTCCAGTGTTCTTCTAGTATTATGTATATACTATTATATTTTGAATTAGCGTTCTTATTTATTTTATTTTCATTATCATTATAACAAAGTTTACTTTCATTTTAAGGTTTAGTAATTCTATGTGCTTTTGTAAAATATATATAAATTTGCGTACTTCCAGACAAGACAGCTTCCAATTCAAAATTTATAAGTTTTTAAGTAAGTTTTTCGTGTAATATTTATATTTTTTCTTTTATTTGAGCTTTTTCAGTTAACAAAAACAATGTTTAATAGCTTTAGCTAAAAATAGCACGTTCATTCAGTTAATTGAATGTAATTTTAGTTACCTTGAAACAGTTCTGCTCTGTGTATATGCTGTTTGCTAATAATATTATGTATTTAGAATTGTCATTTTCAGTTTTCATCAATGGAGAAAGATGAACCAAATGGTGTAGCTACGTCATCTTCCGGCAAGGGCTAACAGAACCCAGAATTAAGCTGGTCTGGCCTGCTGACAACTGCACAAAACCCCACTAAAACCATTCTGGGAGACCAGCTGAGCACTTCAGGTTGGTTCAAGATTTGTTTCAGGAGGGAATGCAAAGTTCTTGTCTTTTTAAGCTGTTTTCTCTGTCTTGTATGCAGGTGAGTGACAGCGGTGAAGCTGGAGCCTCATTAATTTACAGCATGACTGTGCAAACCTCGTTTGCTGTCGGCTGTGTTTTCTCACGGGGATGCATTAGCACTCCACAGGAACAGAACCTGCCAATTTCCAGAGTGTGAATCAGTGGATATATCACCTGTTCCACGCAAGAGCTTCCAAGGACATCATCATCCCGACCTGTTAGCAACAGCTCATGTTAAGATGCTGCTTAGAGTTTTATGTAACAGACTCACTCTCCAATTTGATGTAAACAAATTACTTCATTTATAATAAATCAACTATTCTTTCGTCCATCTATTTTAGAAAAGGTCCAGCATTCATTTGTTTGCATATGCCATTTGCTTTGATTTCTAATGCAATGGCATTCAGACATGTTTAAGTATGACTCAAATGGCCAAATATGTTTGGAGGCCATTGTTTGTAAAATATTGAACACTTTTTTAGGAAAAGCCACCTATGTGTGTTCTAAGAATAATTTTTTTTTGACTAACATTTCCATGAAAACTTAAAAACGTAAAAAAAAATGTTCTGATGTTTTAAGAACATTATTGGCAACCAGATAACTTTGAACGAATATTCTGTTAACCTTGACAAATGTTCGTTGAGAGAACCTTGTCAGAAAATTAGTCAAAATTCTGAGAATGTTCCCTGAATGTTGGTCGTCGCTATTTTTGCTGCATTTGGT